GTTATGATTTTTTGAAAAATAATGCCGAAAAATCAATTTTCTAAGAATTCTTAAGAAATGGATTTTTTGGCATTTTTTTTTTCAAAAATTCATAACTTCTCAAAGAAGACCTCGATCAGCACAAACTTGACTCAGATAGTAATCAAATGTAAGAAAAAGTAGGATAATGACTTTTCTGGATTTTATCGCACTGTTTCTGAATTTCTAGAATTCTTGCTTAAAAATTCCGAATTTCGGATGATCTCGTTCTTTCATTTTTATCTCTGCCGCCTGAGCACATCGGAAGCTCACCAGGGAGCTTTTGGAAACTACATGCTTTACGCTTTCAGAAAAAATTTGAATTGCGCAAAATCGTTGTGATCGAAAGAAGCTATGATTTTTTGAAAATGGTGCGACAGAACTTTCGGTTCAACCTAATGCATTTTGGTCACTATCTTGTTATTAACAATTGTAATGTTTAAGTCGAGATAATTACAGTTGAATTTATCCTCGTGTGTAGTATCTAAATCTAGTTTGTTTTCATATACGTTAATGATTGTATTATGAACATCAGTTTCTGTGCTGTTATGTATGATTAATAAATCGTCCATATATCGGAATACATAAAGGTGATTGTTGTAATTGGTTTTCTGAATCAAGTATTTATATTCATACCAAGATAACGTGAGATCTGCCATCAAAGGGCTAAAATTACCTCCCTGTGGTACACCAACTTTTTGTTTTAGGATGTACGTACTAAATCTACAAAAACTGTTGTCAAGGACATAATCTATGTAATATAATAAATCTGAAATAGTGTAGTATCTATTTTTTGATTTTGTGTTTATAGTATCGGTATAATATATTTTATTGAAACCATTATACGTTAAGTATTTTTTGTTTGCATTTTTGAAGCATATCAGTCAATAAGTCAAAAAATGCCTAGATTTTGCGCATGCGGTTCTCTCGTCATCGCTACAGAGTGAAGAACTTCAAAAATAGCTCGATTTACTTCATGTCCATGATTTCATCTTTAATTTTTACTATTATGTATGAAATGGGATTCAAAGAAGTGCAACCTAAGAGCATATGGAAGCAAATATGTCTTATTAGTAGTTTCTGTATAAAACATATGCTCTGCCAGATGCGAAGTGAAACATCTCGCAACAACATGTATTGAATAATGAGTAGCAGCTGATGCAATCACGCCATTAGTCCCAAAAATTGTGCACACGTTCAGTTGCTAGTTTCGGTCGTCCCGAGAGCTCTTGCGCACGATTTTCAGAAATTCATAACTTCTGACTTTTCCATCCGATTTGACTGCTTTTATTCTTGTATGAAAGAGTAAGTCATGCCCTTAATAATGACATCTTAGCTGCTTGCTGATGATCGTCTGTTGCATAGATAGGAGCGATAGAATAAAATTGGTCAAAATTTGAATTTTCTGTGTAGGGTCATAAAAAATCGGAGACTTGCAACAAAAATCGGAGCAGTCAACATCATAGGCTCTTTCAGCGGCTCTTTTTAACAGTGCAAAGTTTGCGCCGATTGAGCGTCTCTATGAAAAGTTATGACTTTCGAGCAAGCGATACAAAAGGGCGAATTTGATTTATTTTGGCATTTTTCAGGAAAATGATAACCTTTCATAGAGATTTTCAATCGGCGCAAGCCTTGCGCCGTTAGAAAGAGCTGGTGAAAGAACCTATAATACCGACTGCTCCGATTTTTGTTGCAAGTTTCTGGTTTTTTATGACCCTACGCAGAAAATTTAAATTTTGACCATTTTTTTCTATCGCTCCTGTCTATGCAACAGATGACCATTAGAAAGCATTTAAGATGTCATTATAAAGAGCATGAGCTACTCTTTCATAGAAGGATGAAAGCAGTCAAATCGGTTGGAAAAGTCAGAAGTTATGAATTTTTGAAAATTGTGCGTAAGAACTTTCAGGACGACCTAATTTTTCTCTTGCTTTAACGTCTTCTTCCCATCTTCAAGTATTATTCTGTAAAACCGGCTTCAACTTATACCGCTGTCTACCGTAGGATTACAGTAGAAAGTTTCGGCATGTGTTAGGCTGTCCCAAAATTAAACACCTTTTTATAGATAATTCAAGCTGTTTTTGTTCCAGTAAACCTAGGATGTCATTCGATAGAACAGATCAAGCTCCTCAGAGTGACTACAAAAGATAGTCGCATTCCATGTAGAATTTGAAGCTCAAAGAAAAAAATTTCTCATTTGAAAAATGGGTTCTTGCGAGAAAGAATCCTACGGACATCCAGCTGGGTCATTACACAGTGGGCACAGAGTAGTCTCAAATATGTCTTTACTGGACTTTTTCCGCTCATAAAAAACGAAAAAAAGATACTTCAAAAATGGCAACGTCGCCCCCCCCCCTTCCAATGTCATTGTATACTACAAGCCTTACTTACGAGTTAGTTTAATCTCAAAACTATAGCCTTATGTGTGCTTTTATAAACGAGAGATATTAAGTTATACATGAGAATTCGAAAGAAAGGGCATTTTGGCATTATCACACCATCTTTGTTTCTCAATGAGCCCGGCAAAAATCCTAATAGAATACATTTCTGGGTACTAATGTGCATGTGTCTAATATATGTGTAGAGACCAAGTTCGGAGTCCATAGGAATTTTCTGGAAGGAAGTCCGATTTTTAGTGTTGCTGAAGAAATTTGGATTTTAGCCCCAAATTTTATCTGGATTACACTCAGTTGTATTTTTGGTGGCCTTTTTTGTAGACCTCGCTTGCGCTCTATCGGGTACATTAAGTCTGCGAGGAAAATAAAAACAGCTCAATTTAGTTGAAAATGGTAATTTTGGGACAGCCTAATAGGATCACTGTAACAAAAGCTGTCTGCCGAAATTTCCTTTAAAAGTGTGGAAAACTACGTAGCAAGGTTTACACGCTTGCTCATTTTACTGCACATTTTTGCGAGCTTTTTGAGCTTTCTCAAGTATGATCACATTCTGGATTAGAAAACAATTGTTAAGGGAGAATACTACTCATTAATCAAGCATTACAGTGAAGTGCATTTCACATCTAAAGTCTGCGACTTTGATGAACCTAGTGTAAAGCTTTTGACTTGTTTAGTTTATTTTCCGAGGCAAAACATGGTTGTCTATGTCCTAAAATCATTCCTGAAGTTGCTACCGTTATTCTGCACTGATGAAGAGCGATCGGAAATTCGCTCGTACAATAGGTCTAACAGGGGAACGACCCCAACTTAAGGTGGCCATTTGGATTGAACCGCAAGTAATTAGATGCGCCTTGATGAGCTGATTTCAAATCCTTCTTCCTTATCTGCGATGCCCTTCTCTGGAAAAACTTATGAGCGTTCAAAAATTCAAATTCGGAGAACATTCTGCGCCGCACCCTTAAGAACTAGTTGTTCAATAGCACTTATCTGCGTCTATTTTATGTGTGAGCATCCCTTGAAATTGGTACACTTGGCTAGTCCCGCACTTCCAAGTTGGATCTTTGGCACATCATGCATTAGAGCTCCAGTAATTTTATGATTTGAATGTGGTTAAATGTGGGAATCACTAAATTCCTAATACATAATGAGCTTTATCCAACTTTCAAGCGCATGGCGAGCAAGATATTTAATGTACTGATTTCAAGGATTGCTCACATTCACCGGAGACACGGTAGGTGTTTTTGAACAACTAGTTCTTGAGGATGTGGCGCCAAATGTTTGCCAAAATTGAACCTTTAAACGTTTAAAATTTTTTCAATGATCCGGCGCAGAAGGAAGGTAGGTTAGATCAAGGCAAAACTTTTGTGTACTGCTTCCAAGCAGCTCTTATGATAGAGAAATCTCGATTGAAAAGGTTATGACAATATTAGAAACTCCCCAAACTTCAATACTATCTGATCATCCTCTTTTTCATTTCATTTAATTCCTCCTTCTGTGCATAAACATGTTCAGACAAAATTGACCAGAAGCTAAGGTCTGCTGTAGCTCAAAGACAACCTAATCAATAGTCTATAGCTTTGCATAGTCGAGGGAAAATATTAGCAACCGAGAACTTTTGGGTAGAATGTGATCAAACGCAAGCTTTGTTTGCTTCCTCTTTGAAAAGGCGATTACCAGTATTTTTTTGTTTCAGAGAAAAAAGCTGATGAATTTACAGTTGAACAAGCGATATAGTTGATGACAGAGTTGTGCATTTTGTGCACAACCTTATGATGTTATATCTTTGACTTACTCTGCGACATTGTCCCTTACAAATCCCTAGGAACTACATAGCTGAGAAATTAAGATTATTGGAAACCCGTAATTTCCCCGGCACTCACAAGGGAAGGAAGGTGGTCAAAGTGGCTTTTAAAGATGAAGCGTACACTATCTTGCAGACCTTGGAAATCTGATTCCATCTCTACTTTGCTATCTGCTGCGGGCTTCTGGGTGAGGAGTTATGAAGCTTTTTGTGGGGTGAAATGTGAATGCAAGATTAGGCAATGGGTCGTTACCTTTTCTTAACGTTCAAACGAAGCAGCAGCAAGCTGTCTAAATCAAGAATATTTATTGCACCGAGTGATCCGATTATCAGTTAAGCCCTAGAAAAAATGTTACGTGTGATTTTTAAACTTGCATGAAACTTTTACTCAGCAAAACTTCATAACTCCTCGCTCAGAAGCCCTCAGCAGATTGCGAAGGCAAATTTGAAATCAGCGTTCTAAGTTCTATGACACAATTCACAATTCATCCTAAAAGGCCACATCGACCAACCTTCCTTCCTTTGTCAGAAGATTATTTGTTTGGGTAGACTATATGTCGCCGAAAGTGGGAGGGTCCCGCGCGACGATGCAGTAGATACTCAGCCTGTGCATGTACTAAAAGTTGTATTTGTCGCAGATGTCCGGCTGGACCTCCCATTTTCGTCGACGGGTAGTCTTCTACCCCATTTGTTTTTCTGTCAAGTTATGTTTAAAAAGTTTCGTTTGTTCGTCGTTTTTTTTCAAACGCTCTATGTACCGCTTACTTTCTCAGAATATTTTTCCAGAGACTTTACGTCAGTTCGACAAGAATGAGAGTTTTCAAACTTACCTTCTTGTTACTTACCATCTTAATGGTAGGTTGATTAAGCGAGACATGACTTAGTTTGCGATATTACTCCTTAGACTTACTGACTTTACATTACTTTGATGCTTACAGATTCTCTCTGCTGTGGACGTTGGTGAATGCGGAAAGTTCAAGGAGGCAATGGGAAAAGTTGGAAGAACGCTTGTAAAAGTGGTAAAAACAGGTGCCAATGTCGTCAAAAAGGTGGATGACGCGATTGATCACTTTGGAGGAAATATAGTTCCTAAAGTGTTAGACAAACTCACAGGACATTGATATTTCATGCTCGATTGTCGATAAACCCTTGCATTGTGATTCAAGTTGTAATACAGGTTTTACGCTGCCGACCAAGGTTGATAGCAAGACTTTATTACTCGATAAGCCAACGTTAGCGGTCCGTCTATCTTCATCAAGGCTTCTTGAAAGTCTAGACTTTGAGGACTGCCCGCTATTGTCCTGTGTTGCAGTAGACAGTATAGCTATCTGGTGGAGCGGTAGAATAGATGTGTAAGCTTGACTTCGGCCTTTTCAGATCGGGATATAGAGACCGAACAGCCAGTACCGCTGCAGCTGCGCTATGAGTGAGTATGATAGTCGGTGTCAATAATGCCCTTATATGGTTACATAAGATCTCGTATTAGAATCCACTTAGTTTTTGATACGAGAACAGTTCGCTGTTTATGGCAATGCCTTCATCTTTGCGGTTCATTTTGGTGGTTTAGACGCTATCCAAAAGGCCTCCACGTTTTGCGGGCTAATAACTCGGATTCGTGCGACAAAATCGTAACAGTGATTTGAAAGTAGTGGTTCTCATGACATGACCTTAGATGTGCACCCAAATATGTTGATATTTTGCACTTTCTAAGGCGTCAAGATGTCCTTTGATTCTTGTGCACAACGGTCTGCCGGTCTCTTATGTATTGGTAACCGCATTTTTGACAGATTGTGATATATAGCATTCTTAATTCCATACGGTAGCCTGGTTCTCCAGAGCTCAGATGATAGTCGGTGGTCGCGCACATTATGTCATACGCTCGATTTAGAATTAGGGATATCTATAGCTTTGAACGGAATCATGGAGGCCCTCTTGGAACAAAGATTTTCTTATAGCTTTGCTAGAATTCAGATAAGAAGAACACAAGTCGTACTTTTGTTGTCTGATTCATTTTGATCGGTCTGCTTTCTTGCCTACAGGTATGCACTGATACACCTTTTGCGGAATAGCCGTTAAAACACGCAGTCTTTTTGGCAAGGTTCATCGATGGATTGCGCTGAAACGTTGGATGAAGTTGATTTTGCTGTCTTGAATATCTTGCCTATCACGAACGGTTTCGTGCTCCAATATTGCACAGAGCGGTAGTGAATTAATATACTCTTACTGGCCCGTTTGGGGAGCCATTTAGTCACGTATGATCCGTGTGATAAAGACATTGGACATTTAGAAACGCTAGCCAATTTTCGTCGGGTTTATCCCGCGTGAATTTTATGTTAGAGGATTGGCTATTTGGCTATTCAGAATGTCAAAGCATACGTTTATCTCACTACGAGTTGGACATATAATCCAGCAGTCGTCAATGTATCCATAAAAGAGGAAGGGCTTAGAGCAAGTACGGGTTTTTCGATCTTTGACATGAAGGCGATTGCGACGACGGGAGTCAATCTTTGCCCCTTCGCTAGGCCACGTGCCTGCTTGTAATACCTTCCTGACCAGCAAAATATGCTGCATTCCAAGCTTTTTTGAAAGTGTCATGAAAGTGTCATGTCCAACACTGAACCCATACATTTTGAGAGCAGATTGATGTTTCGAGAGTAGCTCATACATGGCTTTCTTAGCATCATCCTCGGAGGCATTTGTGTACAATAGGTGATATCTAAAATCTTAATCGCATTCTCCATTAACACAAACATTCTAATATTCGAAAGATGGGCAAGACAGGCACATATGCAGTAATTGTGTTACGAACAGTTTCAACAGCCATAAGATTTTATCATCCGGGCCACTGCAGCTGCTTATAATGAGTCTTACATTATTAGTCTGTGGACTTTCAAAGAGAAATTCTAACGCAAGGAGTTTGTGTGTCTTTATTAGCAACAGATAAAGGATAAAGGATTCGGCGTCTTCAATACTCCATGCGGGCATGCGCCGAACGCACATTACTCTATCGTCGAAGAGGCAACTGTAGGCGTGCGAGCCTAAAACAGTAACTTGCGGGGTCCAGCGGTTTCCAAGTCAGTGGTTTTATCCTCCCAGATTCTCTGGTACTAATTGACTGGCTTCGGAGGTTAGAGGGCTTGATTTACCCAAGGGGGGGGGGGATCGAACCTGCTTCCGATCTTGTCATAGCGGCGCCTCATTCCACTACGCCACTCGTCCCTCTATTAGCAATAAAGGGCTAGACATTTGGGTAAATCGATTTTGAGATGCGATATCAAAGCTTTAGGTATGCCGATGGAGTTCGCTATATTTACCCACACTCGGTTCGACGACGGTTTTGTTTTTACAGAGTGCTATCATTCAAATGGTGTTCACATATAGCATGTCTAAGCCATGCGTCATCACGACGAATTCCCCTTCCTTATCTCCTATTTCCTTCCTAGTGCATAAATTATGAAGTTTACTCAAAACTCGACGTTGAATGAGACTGAGATTGCTAGTGATATGCTTTTTTGAAAATTTGTTTCTTATTTTTTTGTTGCATATTTTCGGAGCGTTAGAGTACCGAAGATTGGTCGATCGAAATGAACCCAACAAAAATACCGTTTTGTACCGTATCACCTGACTGTTCCACTCGTATCTGATTATTTTAGCAGAGCTATTAGAAAATCTTTGTTTCAAGCGTACACCTCGATGATTTCATCAAAGTTATAATATCCCTACTTCTAATCTCAAAAACTACGCCGCAATCATGTGTGTGACAGACTGTGCACGACCGCTAATTGTATCACCTGACTGGAAAACCAGGCGGTTGCATGGAATAAGAAGTGGTACATCTCATAAGCCGTCAAAAATGCGGTGACCAATACATAGGAGGGCCGGCAAACCCTTGTGCACAAGAATCAAAAGACATTTTGACGCTTTAGAAAGTCCAATATGTCAACACATTTGGGTGCACATCTAAGGTCATGTCATGAGAACCACTACTTTCAAGTCACTGTTACGATCTTATCGTGCGAATCCAAGTTTAATAGCCCGCAAAACATTGGAGGCTGTTTGGATAGCGTATAAACCACCGCAAATGAACTGCAAAGATAAAGGCATTGCCATAAATAGCATACTGTTCTTTTAACAAACGCTTCGTGGTTTCTAATGTGATACGAGATCCTCTATAACCATATAAACATAGCGCAGTACTGGTTGTTCGGTCTCTATATCCCGATTTGACAAGTTTGAAGTCAGGCTTCCAGCAGCTATTCTGCCACTTCATCACATAGCTAAACTGAATCTATTGCCAAATAGGTCAATAGCGGGCATTTTTCAAAGTCCTGATCTTTCAGGAAGCCCTGATGAAGGAAGACGGACCGCCGAAACGTTGGCTTATCGCGTAATAAAATCTTGCACCAACCTTGGTCGACAACTGTAAGGCTGCATTACAAGGATATTGATAGTCTCCCTTTGTGCACATCAGCTTCCAAACAAGGTGATTTTCACAATTTTAACTTTTTCAACGCGAGTATAAATAGTGTTGATTACATTTCCTTTATCTCGTACCGCGACTATTGCTAAAAGACAAATCAGCACAACATACCTAAGTAACATAACGCAAAACTTTCACAATACATCGCTCATCCATCTACATTCATATCACAGGCGGGCAGAAAATATATTAGAAAGCAAAAGAAATTTTTTTGTGTATAAGCTCGTGTTTAACTAATCATAACTTCCTTCAAAATTTGTTAGTGTAAATGATAAATGGCCCATCTTGTAGCCGCAAGTCCGTAACACAAAGAAAAGTTAAGAAGAGGTTAAACAAAGAAGATTCGAGAAATGGAAAATTCAAAATTTAAGATTGTCAGCTTTTTTCAACATTTTTCGTAGGCCTCAAAGTCCCAAATTACAAACTCTTTTTTCAATTTCTGCGTAGTGAACAGCTCAATATTTTTGCAAAAAAAAACAGTCAACAGAAAGCCCACCCTTACGCTTACAGAAATGACGAAAGCTCCAGCAATTGCCCTCTTCAATTGTAATCTATGGGTCGCTAAATGACCAAAACAACTACCCTGATTTAGACGCCGAATCAGTTTAGGTAAATTCTGAAAATCGTGTGCGTAATTCAGACAACTTTCATACCTGTAATAGCTAAATTTTCAAAAGCATGCCTTCATTCGCGCTTGAATTCTGGCACAAGTGTAAATGTAATAAAATTCTGGGTTCGAGTGCGGTTGAAGCTCTACAAATTTTTTAACGAACTAGCTGGGTTTCCCGGTCCAGCCCAGGCCAAGGCTTCAGCTTACCCTTGCCTTGCTCCAGCCCCCTCCCTCTCCGTCTTCCCTTCCCACCTAGCCATTACGCTGCAAGGTCCCTGTATTAAAGTAACTCACCACCTCCGGGGTCCAATACATATGTCTGCAAAGTTCCAGCTCAATCGGTTCATTGGTGGGCGTTTTTATAACGAACGAACAAACGAACACACTTAAAAAGTTTGAGTTTTATATATATATATATCAGTGGCGTACCCAGGATTTCGGCTCGGGGGGGGGGGGCGCGACAAAAAAATTTTTCTAAAGAAGGTGCGTGGCGTTAGCCACGCACTCCGAAAATTTTTTTGGGGTGCTTCTCAAAACTTTTGTGGGTCCCCAACCCCTAAAATCTAGAAAAAGGGGGCGTGGCGTCAGCCACGCCCCCGAAAAAATTTTTTTTACAAAGCTAATTTGAATTTTTAAAAATTTTTAAAAATTATTTTAATTACTTACAAAAATAAACAAGTCACTTGCACATTTTTATAACCCACATAGGTAACTTTCAAAAATTTCGCGACCCATTCTCGGGGGGGGGGGGGGCGCGCCCCCCCCCGCCCCCCCCCCCCTCGGTACGCCACTGATATATATATATATATATATATATATATTAGGTCGTTCCGAAAGTAATGTCGCTTTTTTCGAATGAACGCCACTATTCGTGGAATCAACATTTCTAAGAGATCTTAAGAGCATTCGATGCAGCATTTCATCCTCTTTCTAATGGCTCTAGATGCACTGCATAGTGTTTAATGAGCTCCCGAAAAATTACCAAAATCTGCGACTCATGCTTTTTGCCATGCTCGAGTTCGGCTATTTTTCTAAATTTTTGTACCTATTCTCCGAAAAAGTACAAGTAACGGGTAGATAGAGCAAACACTATAGAATA